GATCATGACCTGAGCCGAAGTTGGGCGCTCAACTGACTGAGCCATCCAGACGAGTTGAAAGTAAGAGGATTTCTAACAGAATCTCAAAAATCTCTTCCAGGTATAACAATATATAGTTCAAGGCTCATGTCTACTCTTTACTACCTACTGTCTCTGTTTCAATTATAATGCCTAGAGGCAAGGGCACCTGGATGGCTCAGCCGGTTGAGTGTCTGACCTTGGCTCAGGTCATGATCTCGCGGCTCCTGAGTTCAAGCCCCGCGTTGGGCTCTGTGCTGACAGCTCGGAGCCTGGAGCCTGCTTCGGATTCTAGGTCTCCCTCTCTCTGCCCCTCCCCCACTCATGATCTGTCCCTCTCTGTCTCTCAAAGATGAATAAACGTTAAAAAAAAAATTTAATAATGCCTGGAGGCAGAAAAACTATCTTAGAACTACCTCAAATAAAATCAGTTAATAATTTAATAGTGCACTGAGTTTCTTCACAAGGCAAAAATGAGAGGCGAATACTGCGTTTCAAATTTAATAATTTGTACGTGTCACAGAATAAGGCTGTCAGGTTCTCGTATACAAAGTGACCCTGAAATATGCTCTCCTTAAGATGTAAGATAGCTCCACAGGAACTAACCACTTCTCTGTTTTGGAATAAAAACAAATTAAATGTTACCTTAAAAGAAAAAAGACATTTCACTTCTGTGTATAATGGATGGGGCACAAAAAAATGTGGTTAAGTGGTGTGTCGTCGTGTTCACAACAGATCAACTATTAGCTTCAGTCCTTTCCTCTAAGTTTGTTACTTAAGGGAAAGAAATGTTTTCCAAGTCTGATACTAGGACTTGAATAATAAGGAAATTCAGTTTGGCTGACTTCTTTACTCGGCCTTGCTTTTGACTTACCAATAGAAAATCTATAGGTTCAAGTCCATCCATATCAGATAATTCCCCCACATCTTTGCGTTTGCTTCTATTTTCTAAAAAAATTACATTGGCAATATCTCATTTAAACTTTCTCTTTCAGTCTTGAAAAATTAAATGAAAGGATAAGTACATGGTTTAGACAAAATTCTCAAAAACATTTATTCTTCCTGAATGCTGATACATAGAAAAGGCCAAAAAATGATTAAATGAGGGTGTTAGGTTAAGATCAACCTTGAACTCCTCTATTTCAAGTCTCCTATTTTACTTCAAAAGAAAAATTCATAATTTACAAATTTTAAAGCTTCAAGATCTTATTTCACATTTTCATTTTATAAATGTGTGAGCTGAGGCTCAGAAATTAATTAATCTTCTTGGGAAATCAAAGAACTTATTAGTATCACAGCAGGATTCAAGGCACTGTATTTCTAGTTTGGGTTTTTAATGCTACACCATCAAAGTGCAATTACAGTCCTCTGTTCTTTTATAACAACAATGGCCAGTAATAATCACAAGAAATCAGGCGGTGATGGCTTGAAGACACAAGATCATTTAGTAAGCCCTGAATCAAATGGGTGATCAACCTGTACACGGTAGTTGTTTAATAAGTCTTTGTTAGCTGTGGTGATGTTTGTGAACTCATTTTTCAACAAATATTTGTTCAGTATCCACAATGTGCCAAGCAACAGTGATACAAAAATGAACAAGTGAGAGTCTCTGACATTTTAACATCCCATTATCTTAAGATAGTCATTTGCAACCACATGGAGCTATCAGTAACAATTAAGAAATTCAAGTCCTAGATACTCTAGTGCAAACTGTAAGATACGTGAGATATCATGGTGACAGCATTTGTATGAGGACCTTTTAGTCTGTCTACTTCTAACTGGTGTGGGTGTCAATTAATTTTAAGCAATGAAAGTTGGCTAGAATCTCAAAATAAGTAAATTACGCTACGCAATTAAACTAATGTTAGGGAAATGACATTTTATTGTGCTATCCTTTTCCACAAAGAAGTGTTTTCTGTGGTGTCAATTTCTAAGTTTCTTATTGTTGGCCAAAATTATCATTACTCTTTATTGCAAGGAAGTCAGAGTTCCTGTACTAATGTAATACAGTATCTTCCTTATATTTATAATTGTTATTTTATAATTATTCTTAGGAGATTAATACTTTTATAGTTAGTACAAATAAAAACTGAAACTTGATACTAGATTACTTATGACGGGCAGGAATGGCTCCCAAAGGTGTCCATGCCCTAATCCCTTGGAACTTATGAATATGTTTTATTACACGGCAAGGGATGTAACAAAGATAACAGAGGTTAATACGGGAAGATTATTCTGATTTAACTGAGCGGGCCCAATCTAATCACATGAGCTATTAAAAGCTAAGTTTTCTTCAGGTGGAGTCAGAGTTGCAGAAGGAAAAATCAGAGAGATTAGAAATGAAAGGGATTTGACCTGCTATTGGTGAAGGGTGCCACATGGAAAGTATGAGAAAGAATGTGGACAGCCTCCAGGAACAAACAACAGCCCACAGCTGAAAGCCAGCAAGGAAACAGGGACTTGTGTCCTTCAAGAGCAAAAACAATTTGGTTGACAGTGTCAGTGAGTTTGGAAGCAGCTTTTCTCCTACAGCTGTCAGTAAGGAATAGCCCAGCTGACACCCGAGTTTGACTTTGTGAGGCACTAAGTGGAGGACCCAGACCAAGCCTACTCAGACTTCTGACTTAAAGAAATTGTGATACAATAAATGTGTGTTCTTTTGAGCTGTTAAATTTGAGACAGTTTATTATGGCAGCAATAGAAAACTAAGAGTTACTTAAGTCAGAACCTCGAAAAAAATTAAAGCATTATAAGGAAATAAATGATGGCTGATCTATATGGTTCAAAATCTGTGAAGTATCTTCATTACAGGTACCCAAAGCATGTTAAGGACAAATTCCAAATTTCATTTCTTTTTTATTAAACTTTATTTATTTTGAGGGAGGGAGAGAGAGAGAACGAGTGGGGCGGGGGAGAGGGAGACAGAGAATCCCAAGTAGGCTTCGTACCTTGTCAGTGTGAAGTCAGTGCAGAACTTTAACTCACAAACTGAGATGATGATCTGAACCAAAATCAAGGGTCAGATGCTTAACCGACTGAGCCACCCAGATGCCCCCCAAATTTTATTTCTACCACAAAATACCAAGAACATAACTCAAACAATTTTGGTTTAACTGAGTATAGATAAAAGAATTGCTTCTTTTACCTAGGTTATTAAGAGAAGGCCATGTTGTATTACATGATTGTTAAAATATGGCAGTCTTTTAAAAGGATTTAAGTAGAAGATTCATATTTAGAAACGACATTAGATTACTTCTTAGCATAATATTCTCAACAGTAATCTCTCTCAGAAAAAAACCTGATTGTCAAATGAAATCACAGATGTGAATGAATGCAATAAATCAGCTCTTTTAAGCTTTATTCGAAGTACCATCAAGAGCCAATTATCTTGCTATCATAGTTCTGCCTTTCATCTGTTTTCAACATGTTACGCTCAAATCTAAGCTAATATAATGCATAAAACATACTTTATGAATTAATGTTATTTCTAAATTTGTCATTTGATAATATATTTAGAAATTAAAATTAGTTTTTTAGGGGCGTCTGGGTGGCTCAGTCGGCTAAGCAACCAACTCCTGATTTTGGCTCAGGTTATAACCTCACAGTTCATGGGTTTGAGCCCTGTATCAGGCTCCACACTGTCAGTGTGGAGCCTGCTTGGGATTCTTTCTTTCCCTCTCTCTCTCTCTCACTCTGTCTGCCCCTCTGGAGCACGCTCACTCACTCTCTCTCAGACTAAATAAACTTGAAAAAAAATAAATTAATTTTTTATATTTAAATTAAAATTAATTTCAGGAACTAAGT